TAGGCTTTTATGTTATGGATGAAGAACAAAATCAGGACCTGTCATTCTAATGTTTTTAAATATTAGAGAGGAGTCAGTCATAGAAGTGTTGCAGGCAAGGTATATATCGACACTGACTTAACATCACCGAGTGTGAGATTGGCACAAATGGAGAGAACAAGGGCACAGTTAGGTGGTTTCATAATAGGTGGTAAACTGTACCCAGAGTTCTTACTGATGGATCAGTGCCAGCCTGATGGAGTACTGTGGAGACTTTTTATAAGTCTCCTTTATAGTCTTTGTACCTGTTAACATTTATTTATTTATTTAGAACTGAAAGAATGTTCGTGATTACCTAGAAGCAAGGAGAGACTGAAAATAGGGGTCAAACAGTTGGTACTTGTGGTCTAATTTTACAGATAAAAATTATATATATGTATGTAACACAGACATAGTACATTCATTCTGGGAATCTCTCTCTCTCTCTCTCTCTCTCTCTATCTCAGTTCATCTAGTTCCCTAGTACAAGTTGCACAAAGGTTGGAGAACATCAGAATGGAGGGTATGATGGGGCTACTTAGAGAAAAGACATGGAGTTTTAGTTATTCAAGTTCAGTATGAACTGGACTATTGAGTTTTACACACTGCATTACAATTTTTTATTTTGCTTATTTTCATTTTAATTTGAATTTACTTATGGGAAATCCACTAGAATATTGGGAGGACTTAGAACTGGTCAAATGCAAGGTAAGGAAGGGAGTTTGTTTAAAAGGAGAGGACTTTGGAGGCCTGCACTAGCTGCTTTCAGATATTTGAAAAAAATGACAGAGAAGAGGGGTCCCATTCATGGTACTCCTGCTCTGGGGGACGGAGCAGTAATCAATGAATGGGAGTTATGAGGAGTTGAATTTGGTTAAATGTAAGACAAAGCTGACATGTGGAGCCCAAATCAGGTGAGGTGGCCAACGGAAGTTCTCACATTCACTGAGGAATATCATCTAGGGAATCTGTTTAACAAAACCTGTTTGGTTAAATGACTCTTCAAGTTCCTTCTACACCTGAGACTAATTCTAGGACTGTCCTGGTTTTCCAATTCCTCTTCGATGGTATCCTCTTTCAATTATGGCTCTTATTGTATGAAAACACAGAAAACCAGTCACATACCTAGTAGGGGTGCCCTTTTTATGTATTTTGGAGGCTACCTACAGATACTGTGAGAAATGTGTCTTCTTTGTGATTTTACTTTAAAATTGCTTCTATGTCTTTTCTAAAATACAGTTGTTTTTACTATTTATTTCAAAATATAAAGTGAGGCTAGGAGTAAGATGGTCTCTGTGAATTGTCTTCAGGAACATTTTCTTTTCAGCTTTTAAGGCCCTGGTCCCTTGTATACTCAGTGGCATCTGAACTTAATTTCAGAGACTGTTATTAAAACCTGGTCTCTCGAATGTTGGATGCCTCCTAACTGCTGCTAGGAGGTTAGGGCCTTATTACTTTACACTCACACTGTAGTTTTATAGTAATGGCTTGATTTCAGTTTTTCCTTCCTAAACTGACCTTTTTTATGATTACCTTACTGAATATAAATATTACTACAGAATGAACCACTCCAAAATGAGCGATTTACAGTGACAACCACTTTTTCTTGTGAGTCTCCCAGTTTGCAAGGTTCTTCTAGTGACTTGGGCTGGTCTGAGAAAGACTTACACTTGTGTGTTTGATCAGCATAGGGTCAGCTAGGTAGCTCTGTGGATCTTTGCTGGGCTCTGTATCATGTAGGGCATCTTTCCTGGACAACTGGACTGACTTGGCTCTGCTCGATGTGGCCTCCCATACCTCCATAGGCACACTTGGGTTTATTCTCATGCAGGTTTCTGGGTTCAAGGAAGAGTGAAAGAATGGAAATCTGCTTAAGGTTTAGCTCAACAAGCATGTGGTCACTTCCTTTGCACTTTACTGACTATAACAAGCCAAAAGGCAGGCCATATTCAATCACATTGCAAAAAGTATAGCAAAGGGGTGGAGAATTGGGAACATTTTTGCAAGCAATTCACCATATAGATCTCTTGAGAATACACCAGTTTTAAAGTAAAGAATTAAGAGACTGCCAAATCCCTAAGCTGACATAAATTCAAACTTTCCAGCCTGGAGCCAAGGACTTCTGCATTCCTGCCTAGCCTTCTCTAACAAGTCTCAACAGTAAGAACACTCTGCCTCTACAAATATCATGTGGCTTGGCAGGGAGAGAAGGAGCTATGGACTCAGAAAAACTGACTGTAAATTAGGAGTCATGTTAAATATTATAGCATATAATTTATAATTTGTACCCTAGAACTGTATCCTCTCTTTCCTTCTTCATTTTGTAGTTTTGCTGTATGTCTTGTTTACTAAATTGAAATGCACGGCAGGAAAGCTTCTAAGATGGCCCCAAAGGTTTCTGCCTGCCTAGGCATTCGTGACTTAGTGGAATCTTCTTCCCTTAAATTACTTGCTTCTGGCCAGTAGAACGCACCAGCATTGATGGATGCCACTTTCATGCTTAGGTTAGAAAACAGTTAGAAAATGATTGTTTGGCATCCATCTTGCAGATTCTCCATTGCCTTCTCAGCTTGTACACTTTGATATAGCAAGCTGATGTCCTCGAGAGGCTGAGGTGGCAAAAACTTCAGGGCGGCTTCTGGCCAGATGTCAGGAGGAAACTGAGACCCTCAATTCAACAGCCCATTGGGAACTGAATCTTTCCAATAACCATGTGAACTTGGAATCAAATCCTTCTCTAGCTGAGCCTTAGGTGACCATAGCCTAGCTGGTGACCCCTTGATTCAGAGATCCTGTAGCAGAAGGCCCAGCTTAACTGTGCTCCAATTCCTGACCCACAAAAACCGTGTGATAGTAAATATGTGTTTTAACCTACTGAGTTTTGGGATTCCTTATTGTGCAGCAAAGATAATTAATACAGGTTATAAGGGTATAAGTAGTTTTTATTAGAAAACTTCAATTTCATGAAAAGAAAGAGTCTGCTACTCAGCCTTTATGCTTTCAAGCATGTGGCCAAATTCTATTTCATAGAACTCTATTTCATAGGATTATTGTGAAAATTAAATAAGAAAGCAAATAGTCTGTACACTGTGTGAAGTTGTACAGTGCATTTCATCTGTCTTGCTTTCTCCTTTCTCTTTCTGGTGTTCTCTTTGCAATTTTCCCCTTAATGTTCCTCTTTTACATTCCGCATTCTTCAATATTTTTGAATGAATCAACCAAAGAAAGATATACAGGTAGAGAGTGGGGAAATTGAGTAAGTTATTCTTTTTTCCTGAAGTAATTTTATGAAGGATGACAAATGATTTGTCTTAACCTGGGCGCACCTGAAAGACCAGTGTGAAGCCATGGCTTCGTTGATTCTACTTTCTTAAGGAGTTTGAGCAGGAAAGTAGGGATGAGCAACAGAAGAGCCAGGTGAAGGTGTGTTCCTGAGCTGGGCTCCACTAAGTGAGACCCCCTACTTCTCAGTCCAAGAGGCTGGGGGCTGGTGGGGAGAAAGGAAGGGAGGGTTTATTTGTCAGCTTCTATCCCCACTGGTGTAGGTTTTACACTGTGGAGCGCTAACTCACCCCTTTCTTTGCACATCACCCGTGAGTACTGGAAATCCTGTGGTCTCTGAACTTAGGTACCAACAAAGAAGCCTCAGGGCTGGAGACAAAAGGTAAGAAGCTTGGGCCTAAGATCAGGCACTCTTAGACTGTCTAGTAGCTGCATGAAGGTAGTTAGAAAGCCCTGGCAGAAGAGAGATCTTCATCTGCAGGTTGGAACTGAAGATAGAAGAGCCGAGGGGGCCCAGAACATAACGATACACATGTGGATAGAGAGGTAAAGCATTGAGGAGGACAGTTTTCTGAACAGGATGCACTATAGACTATTTGTGTCTCCCCAAAACTTGTATGTTGAAACCTAGATCCCCAATATGATGGTATTTTGAGGTGGGGTCTTCAGGGGGTGATTAGGTCTTGAATTAGAGTAGTGCCCTGATACAAGAGACCCCTGATAGCCTTTTAGCTTATCTGCCATGTGAGGACATTATCAGAAGACTATGAAACAGGAAGCAGGCTCTACCAGAAATCAAATCTGCCAGATGCTTTCATCTTGGGCTTCTGGGCTCCAGAACTGTGAGAAATACATTTCTGGTGTTTATAAGCCACCCAGCCTATGGTATTTGTCATAGCAGCCTCAACACACTTAGGGAGGTTGTGAAGACAACCCAGTTGCAGGTAAGAGGTGGCAGGGATAATTTGTAGAAAAGACCATGGAGACAAAGATAGGATTTTGCTAGAGATCAGGTAACAAAGTGAAAAGTGAAACGCCAATCCCCATTAAGATTGGGGGCCAAGGAGATCAGAGGGATGACCATTACGTACTCTAAAAGACAGAGAAGCACTTTGTATGGGAGGAAAACATCTTGGGAGAGGAGGAAAATTTGACACAAATCTGGAAAATAATACAAAATTAAATATACATAGCCTTCTCAGCTAAAATTAATGAGGGACAAAACTACTTCTAATATCTGAAGGGTGTTAACAGGAAGAAGGGAGTATAATTACTTAGCACCATACCAGTAAACATAATTAGGAATAATGGTATGCAATTAAGAAAAGAAAAATTTAGTCACAACATCATGAAAGTTCCTCTGTGCTAGTGACATCTATTAAACTATGGCATCGTTTTCCAAAGCAATTGGGAGGAGTCCTGTTCCCTGAGGCACAAAGAATAAATGAAATTAGGCTGCAAAAAGAACACCTCATAGTGTCAAAAATAAAAACCAAAATAGATGCTATAGAAGCTTGACTAGGTCTGAATCACTGATTTGGTTTCTTTGACCTGGGGACTAGGAAATTAAAGTACCAGGGTTTCTTTTATTTTTTTATTTTTTTATTTTTTTGGAAGGGGGGAGGGGGGCGGGGCATGGAGCTCAATGTGGGGCTTGAACTCATACCCTGAGACCAAAACCTGAGCTGAGATCAAGAGTCAGATGCTTAACCAACTGAACCACTTAGGCACCCCAGTAGGGTTTCTTTTCTTATCTCATGTTGTTACTTGCTGCCCAGGACCTTTCTGTTTGTGTACCGCCGAAAACCAAAGCATTGGCCCAACAGTTGTCCATGAGGCTGTACCCATCTCTGTGCAGGACTTTGAGGTGTTTCCTGTGCTTCTGCGGTGAAAACTGGCAGTGGAAATAGTACTTTGAGGGCCATTAGACTCTTCAGTATTCTTTTCTTCCACCTGAAACATCTTGGTGAACTCCTTTTAAAAATGGATGGGGATTAAGTAGCGATCTGTTGCTGGATAAGAGAAGGGCAAATAAAGGTGACTGGTCTCAGCTTCAAGATTCCAAAGTGGTTACTGCAAAAGTGGCAGGAGAGTATAGGAAGGAGAGGCCTATTAGAGAGACTTCAGGTTGTTTAACGGGAAAGTAATGGCTGGGAGAAAAGGGTAAAGGGAATTGAATGGTAATTTTTTATAGTCTACTTTTAAAAATGCCAACGTTCCAATTTAGTCTTGATGCTTTAATAACTCATAAGACATTGAGGCTTTTGCAGGAAGTGTGCACATTGAGGGAGCTGCACTTGGCTGCAATGTATTTGCAAAATACAATGTATTGCAAAATATTCTCTGACTGATTAGTATGAAAATGGCCCTTCCTTCCCACTTTCCTTTGTGACGCTGACAAGAAAGTGACCTGATAGCTGCATGAATTATGTATTTGCAGAAGACAGAGCTGCTAGAAATGGAAGACAAGAATGCTTACTTTATACTGTTTTGTGCTTTTTCTGCAGTGGGTATCTGCGTAAATTGGCTGTGGTTAGTTTATGAAGGAGGCCATCTCTGTTTAATATCCAGGGCACAGAAATTTGTTCTTCACACCTGGATTTCCAGATAGTGTAGTATATTTCTGGAAAGCCAGCTGATCTGTGCCTCTTCAAAGGAGTAAAAAGCAATAAGAATTGGTTATGAGTTGGATAAAACTAGAAGGTGTATTTCCCACTCAGATGTCTTTCCCATCCAAAAAGTGATGGTGTTTAAGTTCTCCATTTTAAATTAAGTTATTTTGGTGAAGGCTTAATTGACTAGTGCACCCTTTATTAAATTTTTACTTTTTAAATTTATTTACCTTTGGGAGAGAGAGAGGGAGACAGAGCATGAGCAGGGGAGGAGCAGAGAGAGGGAGACACAGAATCCGAAGCAGGCTCCAAACTCTGAGCTCTCAGCATAGAGGCCGATGTGGGGCCTGAACCCACAGACTGTGAGATCACGACCTGAGCCAAAGTCGGATGCCCAACTGACTGACCTACCCAGGTGCGCCTAATTTTCCCATTTTAATATCTAAATATTTTGTGGCTAATAACAATGTTTGTCATATGGGATTCTTAGAAGGATTAAATTGAATGACTTAATATCCATAAAGTGCTAAGCATAGTGCTTGGTACATGGTAAGGATTCAATAAACACTGGATATACTTTATGATGAGGATTATGATTATGACTATGACTATAATTATTACATTACCTGTATGAAGTAACAACTTACAGTGCTTTAATGCAACAACCATCATTGACTTGTGACTTCTCTAGCAGATGGTAGGGCCCTACGGAACAGGAGACAGGTAGGAATATTTTTGTGAGGCTGTGAGAAGACCAATTTGGATAGCTCTAGATGCTGTTTCCTCCTTACTTTGCAAAGTTAGCCAAGAGTGGCTCAGTGGTATGTTAGCTCAACAAAAAGCCTAGGTCAATTCCAGCTATTGTGTTCCATGACTCTACCTTTTAAATAAGGCCATTTCCTATTGTTCCTTTGTAGTATAAATGTTTCCTGTCTCCCACCTTACCCCCAACCCCTACATCTGTTCCACTAAAAGTATAGACCATTACAGGTTTGGGATCTCTATCAACAGGATTGTTGGCCATGATGATTTCAGACCATATGTGCCCAGCCTAAGCTGTAAGACCATAAGAGTTTAGAGGATCACATATGTTCCACTCCTTCTCTGCCTGTGAGTTGTGCACCAGCAAATCGTGTATGTGTACCGCATGGCGTTAGTAGCATGGGTCTTGGACACTTTGCAGAGCAGGTTGGGTGGGCATTGCCTTCATGAAAAAAATATAAGCTCTTAGGTTTCTCAAGAGCATTGTACCCTGTTGAAAAAGAGTGGACAATAGAAAGGACATTATGAACTCAGCAGAAATTTCACAGCTTTACCTTGCCCTTGTTACAAGTATCATTAATACTCACATGATGACATTTTCCAAGGAAAATTGATGTATGAAATTTTAACTCTGTTTCTCTTTTTCTCTGATCTCCCTACCCTGATCAGTTTGTTTATTTCCATCCCGTCTAATTCAGTTGTCATCAAAGAGAACATTAAAAAGTTGGATTAATAATTAGTTCTTCTGATCAAATTGTTATTATAGTCATTTAAAATATTACACACAGAGGCATATATTATTATTATCTATTTCAAATTAGAAATCATCTACCACTAATTAGAAATGAATGACACTTTATTAAATAAGGGCTTAAATATAATGAAGTCATACTTGATAAGAAATAAGAAAATGCTAAAAGAGGCCCACAACCAAAAAAATGCTTAAATGGAAAAAAAAAAAAAGATCATTATGATCTCAGATACATTAAAGTGTGTTTGAGATAGACGGAAGAAATGCCTTTTTTCAAAAGTTCACTAAAACAGAAAATATAGAGAGAAATAAAACCACTCCCTTCTGACATTGAAGAATGCCCATCTCTTAACAGCAAGTATGAAAAATAAGTAGGTCATAAAGATGAGAATGTAAAATGGTATGATATTGGCTCCTTATCTTTAAATGAAATTCTAATTTGACTCTAGCACAAGGAAGGGGAATGAATATGGTATGTTTTCCCGTGTGAGCTGTCAGAATGATAAAACTGGATATGCTCTAAATCAGCTTTTCCATGGACAGCTGGTTCATCATCATTAGTATGTATATCCTTATTAATATCTAGGCCACTCAACTATATAAAAACTAGATTGCTGTTCTTTGAAATTTAGCACTACTCTAATCAACTGCAAGGGTCTGTATACAAATATGTTATAATGAACAAAGAAATATTGTTTGTTCTTGCTGGTTTCTTCTACAAAGGAAAAAATATTTTGCTACACCATTCAGCTTTGAAAATATTCTAAAAGCTTTTTTTTTTAATAGTATAGAATATATCTGTTTAAAGCCTCCATATCTGTGTATTCCTTATCCCCTTATCTTCATGAGGAGCTCAAATGCTGGTGAGTCAATGCTTTTTCAGCTGGCTAAAGTGGCCTGCCAAAGAGCAGAGGTCCTTTAAATTTCAAGTGAACTGGATTAAAATAATTGACTGTAAGGTTTGAGTTCCTACCTATGAGTTTAGTCATATTTTTATTGCCATTATTAGATTGTGTTTAAGTAAAAAAAAAATCATGTAAAATAGCTTAAATAATCAATTTCAACATTCACTACAAGTACAGAAATGGAAACAAAGACAATTAAATGAATTATTGAAGGATGCAGCACAGACCTAGGTCAAAATCCCAAGACCCTTCCCAGTATTATATTGGATTGAGGAATATGAAAATGTTTCCTGTTGGTTCTTGTCAGCATGCCCATATGATTTTCTCAGAGTTGGTATACAATTTCTTGTATCTGGACTCCAAGAATATACTGTGGCTTAGTCACAATAGAAAGTTTGCTTTCCTACCCACCTCCTTTCTTCCTTCCTTCTTTTATTTTTTTCTTAACTAAATGGTAGTTGAGTTCATTTGAATAGGCTATGCCTCATATGTCCATTCCTCTGATAAACTTTAAAATCAAAGGGATTTTTTTTTTAAATTTAAATGTTCTTTCAGCCTTATTTCCTATTCTTACGCTACAGAAACAATTTACTTTTCAGATTTTAAAGATCCTGAAATTTAGGACTCTGTTCTCTTTCACCTCTGCTGTCAAACCAGGAACTCTCTCTTGAGTTCACCTCTTTATTGTGTGACTTGAATATAAGGAGCAATGAGTGAATTAAACACCTAACATTCTAGCTCTTTCTACCTACCTCCCAAAGTAATTGTTCTGTAGGGGTGTTATCTCCTTCCATTGTTATATTTCAAAGATCGTATTCAGAGGTCTTTGAGAAAGATATTTTCTGAGTCATAACACTGGAAAGAGTCTGGGAGAAGACTTACATACATTTCAAAGGAGCAAGAAGAGAATTTACAGAGCTTCTAAGGTCAAGCTTCATCACCAGCTGAAAGAGAAAGAGCAGAGAGAATGATACATACAAGGTGTTTATTGGCCAGAATGGCACATATCACTTCTGCTCCCCATCTTCTCAAAATAGCTCCACCACATAGCTCTGTTATCTTCAAAGGCAGCTAGCCATTGTGGTCTTGCTCTGGTATGAAGGAAGAGAGAACATGGATTTTGGTGAATAGCTAGCAGTTTTTGCCACCCTTGAGTGTTTACCAGGTCCTATGCCAGATCAACAGCTAGATATATTAATTAAATACTGTGACAACAACCTGAGAATTAGGTATTTGTGTTCTCATTGTGTAAAGGAGTTCTAAAGTTTAGAGTAATTAGTCACTTGCTCAAGGTTGACTTGAATAATCAATAGCTGAGTCAAGATCCAAATTGTATCTTTATGACGAAACAGCCCATGATCTTCACCACTATGCTACATATACATGTAGAGATGCAGAGAGAAAAACAGAGAATGTGTGTGTGTCATGATATGTGGAGAGTGAAAGAGACAAACTTTTCCATTTAATTGTGCCTCGTAGTAGTTAGCTATATAGTACAATATGAATGGCATTAAGATTAATCCCATATATTCTGTTATAGATTTTTCTCAATCCCAACACAACTGTACCTCCCTAAATGCTTCCCAATCTCCCACCCCCATTCTCTCAGGGTATTGAGTCTCAGGTGACTCAAACTTTATTTGAATAGAACCATTTTAATGCCTTTTCATCTTAAAGTAATAAACCTTCAACAAATCAGGCATGTCCAAAACACAAAAGGAATATAATTTTTGGAGCATGAATCTCAAGCTTTCAATGATCGAAAGATGTTCATCACTGCAAAATAATGGAAGAGGGAATAGAAAAAGGACAGAAGGAAAAGAAAAAAGGAGGAACAATTTTAAAAGCTGGGTGGGGGGAAGGAATCCAGAAGGCAGAAGAGTAAAAAAAGAGAAAGAAAGTTATGGATCAGATGAAGAGAATACTAAAAAGGAAGAACTGGTCTTCAGTTTGGACTGTAGTATATATTTCCAGTAACTTAAAAAATTGAAAAAATAAATGCAATATTTTGAGGATTTAACTTTAAAAAAATTAATGTTTATTTTTGAGAGAGTGAGAATGAGCATGAGCAGGGGAGGAGCAGAGAGAGAGGGAGACACAGAATCCAAAGCAGGCTTCAGGCTCTGAGCTGTTAGCACAGAGCCTGACACAGGGCTCGAACTCATGAACCATGAGATCATGACCTGAGCCACAATCTGATGCTTAACAGACTGGGCTACCTAGGTGCCTCCGAGGATTTTTAAACTTTTTAAACAATGATGAAAATGGCATACTTTCTAATTTTTCCCTGTTGGACTTGACCTTGGGCATATTTTATGTAATAGACCAGAGTCTATGCAGTCAAAGTATATGAAGGACCTTTCTAAAATACACGTGGCGGTTATCTGCCATAGAGTAATGGTGTACTTTGTGACTTACGGTCCACTTTTTATTTCAAACCACAAGCATTGCTCAAGTTTTCTGTCTCTGGGACTGATTTTTTTATATGGCTCAGAAATAGTTGAGCTAAACTGCTAAGGATAAACATAAGAATAAGCTGTTGTTAATTTAAATCAGAGGATATAGCTATATATCTATATATCTGTCTATGTGCATATATATGCATACACACATTTTTGCAGTCATTTCTAATTCTGAATCTTTGTATAGAATATAGGTTTGCTTTTAGCAGTAATGTTAGTCTGCATTTACATGTTTTTTTTTTATTTTTTTTTCAACGTTTATTTATTTTTGGGACAGAGAGAGACAGAGCATGAACGGGGGAGGGGCAGAGAGAGAGGGAGACACAGAATCGGAAACAGGCTCCAGGCTCCGAGCCATCAGCCCAGAGCCTGACGCGGGGCTCGAACTCACGGACCGCGAGATCGTGACCTGGCTGAAGTCGGACGCTTAACCGACTGCGCCACCCAGGCGCCCCTGCATTTACATGTTTTAATGGCAATTTAAATATCCATAAAAACATGATATAGAATTGCCATGTTAAAATACTTCACAGAGAAATTATGTTTTGTAGATATGTGTGTATGTGCATTCATGCAAAAGTAATTATGTATTAAGCCCAGTTCTAGGTGATGAAGAAGCAGTGGAAGCCAGAACAGACATAGTTTTCATAGAACTTTTATGTTCACATATAATTATATGCCTGTGCTTTAAAAAATACACATTTATTTAAGAGAAAAATATTAAATTTGGTAGTTTATATGAATATGTTTTGTGCCTTATAAAAACTCTACTACAGTGAAAATAATAAGAAAACAAGAATGGTGTTAAGCAACAGGGATAAAAATAACAGGAAAGACAGCAAAGGAGTCTAAATCTCAATATTCTCCAAAAGAACGGAGAAGTAATATTTGACCAAAATAAAAACAGTATGCATTGTCTATGTCAGAGTTTGGACACATGGATCCTATGGGTGGGGGAACATGTTCCTGGACAGTTTTGAAGGATTCTGTGCTTAGACGTAACAAGTACTCCAGAAGGCACAGGGAGCAGCAGATAGGTGAGACTACTCAGAAGTCTGTAAACAAAAACCTTAGATTTCCAGTGCTCTCCCTTTTCCATGCAGCCAAGCATCTCCCCTCTCCCACTCCCCAGGAGGTGAGAGGAGCTTTATTTTTTGGAGAAATTGGAGCAGAGATATTCCCAGCTTATGGACACTGAACATGGTAGGGTTACCAGACAAAGAATCGCTTACAAACTCAGGTTCGGCTGCTCACTGATTGAAAGTAAATAATAAAAAGACAAGTGATGGTGGGAAAGGAAAACTGGCTTTATTCAGGAAGCCAGCAACCTGGGAAGATAGTGGACTAATGTTTCAAAGACCATCCTCCCCGTCCAGACGAAGTTAGAAAGTTCTAAAGAGAAGGCATGGGAAAAAGCGAGGGGAGGAGCACTACATGCAGGAGAAGCAGGTGTCCAGGCAGCCAATCGTATGTGGCATGACCCTGAATTGATTTGCTGGTGTCCGCCACAGCTGTTTTCAAATGTAGTCAGGCCCTATCTTCTGGGAAGGTTAGGTCCTTTACTCCTTCAGGCCATCGTCTGCAAATCTCAAAAAAGTAAGTTAGTTCTGCTGCAGATCAAGGGACTCAGGTCAACAAGCAAGGTGCATGAGCTTGAAGCAAGTGAACACTTAAAACTAGTTGGAATGCTGTTACAGTGCAAGGCAGGAATGAAACCAGCAGTGAAAATAGAAAGAAGTCCACAAGCAGGACTATGGGATCCGCAGCCTTCCCTGTTTTGCTTTTCAGAGAGAAAGTGGCCAAGCTATAACGTACTTCCTCCCTTCTCTAGTAGAGTAAATACTCCTTCTCTGTTGAATCTTAATTGCCTAGCAAATAGACCTATGGCATTTTTGGGTATCTTAGTTTTTCAGGGCTGTTCAGTATCTGGTTTGGGGGTAGGAGTCAGGATTAGGCTCTCCTACACTCGGCTATACTAATCTTTTAATGGAGACTAATCTTTTTAATGGGCTGGAAATTCTCTGGCATATCTTATGGATGTTACATTTTATAATTCTGTTTTCTGAACAGAGAGTGACATACAAAGGCATTGTGCATATGGGACTCCTGGGTGGCCCAGTCCGTTAAGCATCTGACTTTGGCTGAGATCATGATCTCGCTGTTTGTGAGATCAATCCCTGTGTCAGGCTCTGTGCTGTCATCTCAGGGCCTGGATCCTGCTTCTGATTCTGTGTCTCCCTGTCTCTTTGCCCCTCCCCTGCTCATGCTCAGTCTCTGTCTCTCTCTCAAAAATCAATAAACAAAAAAAATTTTTTTTAATTAAAAAAAAAGGCATTGTGCATAAAAAAAAAAAAGGATTCTGTATTGTTCCTCTAGTGTAATCTACCAATTAAACTAGAAGTTAACATTCAATTTTTATTCCAGGCATTTACCTTCAGAATTGGAGTAGAGAGACATCTCAAATAATTTTAAATGTGACTTGCCTCTGTATAAACTCTCCACATTTATCATGAACGTCTATGGAATAGAATGAAACTTAACATACAGCTGCCCCTGATTTCAAAGGGGAGGAGGTGAGCAGAGGAGAAGAGAACAGAAGATTAAAAAATTGGTGGAGTGCCTAAGTGCCTCAGTCAGTTGGGCCTCCCACTCTTGGTTTTAGCTCAGGTCATGTTCTCACGGTTTGGGAGTTTGAGCCCTGTGTAGGTCTCTCTGCTTACATTGTGGAGCCTGCTTGGGATTCTCTCTCTCCCTCTCTCTCTGCCGCTCTCCCGTTCATGTTCTTGCTCTCTAAACAAACAAACAGACAAACAAACACTTAAAAACATTTTTTGGTTACCTGACCAAATGTGGTTATGTGTTTTGTTTAAAGGGTTTTTTTTTCTTTTCTTTTCTGGATATGTAAATGTTTCTCTGAACTCTCTATTAATAAAATGCAAATGATGGATTTCTTTTCTCATTAGTTTCTTTTTTCTTTCTTCCCCCAAGGCATATGGTGTATTATTACTTAAAAATATTTTGTTAAAGCAAGAAGCAGTTTTCCAGAAAATTCCATAAAGGTTGCCGTTGGAAAAAACAAATAGGTTGCTTTCCAAAATCTTAGGAACAATTTTTCTCCCAACTAGTGCATTTTCCAGTTATGACAGAAAATGCCTAGTTTTTAAAGCTTAAATATTTAACCCTTAATTGTTTCCAACTTTGTTGAAAATCAAGGAGAGGGGCCACCCTTGTGTAATGTACTGCTGTATCTTAGTTTTAGCTTTTTGGACATTTTAATTGATGCCCATCTTATTCTCAGCTCCCAGAACCTTATCTAATGACAGATTTTCTGGTTCATTCCATTACCTTATCTGAGCACATCATATAATGTACCAGCTCTTTCAAAAGCCTCTTTTAATAAGACTCTTTGGCAAAAAAAAAAAAAAAAAAAAAAAAAAAAAAAAAAAAAAAAAAAAAAAAAAAAAAATGTCATTCTGATGTAAACAAATTCTACACATGATGACTCAAATACAGTCATGAGATGGTATGTCCTGTTCTTTTTAATTTCATTTTTAAAAAAGCCCCAACCTAGCAGATGGTTAATAACAGAATCCTTAATTGTTCTGCAGAGAGACATGAAATAGAAGATA